CATTGATTATGTCACCTAACCTAACCTAACTTGACCACATAGGTCGCGTGCACGATGACCGACCCTGGAGGCAAAATATTGAAACACAACCTCATTCTTTCGTGAATTATTGAAACACAACCTCACTTTTTTACTTGGTTACAGAGGAATCAAAGGATTGAACTAGTTTTTCACAATATTTTGGCATACGAATCGCGTTTTTTGCGCTATTCATTAATTCAAGCATGCCTTCGCATTGTGCTGTTGTACAATGCACAAAAAATGCAGCAAGAGACTAAAGAATATGATTTCTCAGGTAAATAGTAATCTCACATAGTTATCATTATGAAATGTTGTCATTCCTTATTAAAATTCCTTCTGCCTTCTGTCACTTCTGCAATACAAACTAATACTGCTAATAGATTGAAAATGTCTACAACACACACGATCGTCAGCATGTCAGACCAGTCCTCCCGATTGATTGCATGAATCCAATTTTCTGGCATTATTTTAGAAATTTCAGATGTATTTCTATTAGCTTCTATCGCAGAAAGAATTCCGATGAGAAATCAGAGAAATTACCAAATTTCAAAAATGAAAACTATATGTGAGTGACTATAGTAGGTACTTACTTTTGAATCATATTGTACCAACCGGATTACTTCGTCTTCCGCTGCAGTTTTTGTGCATTTCACAACAACATAATGTGATGGCATGAGCGAATTGATGAATAGCGGAAAAATACGATTCGTATGCCAAAATAATTGTGAAAAACTATTTCAATCACTTGTAAACAAATAAGTAAAGTGACGTTTGTGTTTCAATATTTTGCCTCCAGTGTCGCATAATTTTCCTTGGTTCGTGTAGGGTCCGGTTCGTGATAACACAATGCATTTTGGTGTTTTTCCATATATACTAGTGCATATACTCATGCAAGATATATGTTAGAATCGTAATGTTTTGCTCATGTCTACCTCATTTATCTTGGGTAATTGATCATAATCATGTTCACCAATTCGCAAGCTCTTCATCATATTATGATTTGAGAGTTGGTCATTTTCAAATTTCAAACAATCAACGGTCGCTGGTTTATGGTCTGGTTTCCTCTTCTATTCAATTTTGCTATTGGCGCGCCTATAAATGGTCGATTCTCAACACGTTGCTTATTTGATCTGAGACTTCTGGTCCTATTTTGAATAATATATAATATATATTTATACGAAAAAAAAAATATTTCTCGAAAACTGACAAAAAGATAACCTCTATATATAATATTGAAAAGGAACATTCTCAGATATATTTATGAACACAAAAAATTGATATATATATATAAAGAAATACATTGAGAATTCGCATTCTCAATGTGATGAAAATATTAATTCTTTCTCTGTTTAATATAATATGTTTGAAATCTGATGGAAGAGCTCTTTCGAATAGGAAAATGAAATACAGGGTGTCCCGAATAAAAAAATAAAATGAGCTATTCGTACTCCACGTGCAAATAAGATGTTCCATTCTGCAACTTGCTAAATATATGGCTATTAGTACCGAAGTATACAGTCGTATTCAATAAAAAAGCGTACAAGTATTAAAAAGAGAGGATGTCGGGATCCTAGTTCTAGTTGTGTAAAACTGGCTCAGACAATGCTTTGTGTTTTCGAGAACCTATGACAACTTTACTGTCAACATTTGGTGAACAATCATGCCCGATAGCCCGTTTTATGCAGAATAGGATGACGTTAATTTCTCTCTGTAATATACTTGTACGATTTTTTTTAATGCGACTTAACATTTCGAATTTCGATACGGTTCAATTGAATTGCATTTGTTGAAGAATGGTATACCAAATTTCGAATAGATTCATATAGGTACCTATAAATAATAAGTCTCTACAAAATGGCGAATGTTTTTGCAGCTCATTTCAATACCTATTTTTAGTATAAGTTAATAAATCAAATTATTCCATGCTAAATTATAATATGAAATTTCAAAATAGATATGTGTTGACTCATAAACAATATGGCGAATAATTACGCATATTGTTGCATTAAGATCCATCTAGATCCTCTGTATAAATCGGTGAAGAAAGCGAGTTTCACAAATTTCTTCATCGCTATATGGAAATAATATATCGAAGCAAAATACCAACCACGTATGAATGCCTCCATATACAGTGTGTCCCACTTACCATGCTCACCATGGGTATCTTTTTAACGGTGAGAGATACGAGGTCGGTTAATTGACATCAAATGTGGAGTTTGTCAAGGCCATCTATATTGTGAAAAAATATTTTGATAAAATCTATTCGTTTTTGTTTTATACGCAGAAAACAGATTTTTATCATTTTCATGTCTCCTCCGTAACTTCTTTATTTATGAAAATATTCAAATAGGAATTTCACATTTTCATGGCAGTTTTCCAAAGTGATTTCGAAAAAAATATGAGATTTATACCAACTCTTCTAGAATTTGAGATATCAGCACCAACATTAGTTTTTCAAATGTAGGCCATAGCTCACTATGACTTAGTTACAAATACCTTTTTTACCTCTTACATATGATATGTCGCAGTAATAGTTTTGTGTTGATAACAACGGAGTTATCGTCATTTATAAAAAAACAAAAAATTATTCGGAAGCCGCCATCTTGAATTTATGAATTTCAACAAAAAAATCATGATCTCCGACCTCAAAAACCCCCACTTACCAATTTTGAATGGAATCAGACCAAATCTTGTCCGCCATCTTGGAGCAGCCATTTTTTTTAATTTCAACAAAAATTCCATAGCTCCGATTAACTTGAAATTTGGCAGGTGTTCATAATTTCGGTGACAATACATTATGGAATTTTTGTTGAAATAAAAAAAAAATGGCTGCTCCAAGATGGCGGACAAGATTTGGTCCGATTCCATTCAAAATTGGTGAGTGGGGCTCTTTGAGGTCGGAGATCATGATATTTTTGTTAAAATCTATAAATTCGAGATGGCGGCTTCCAAATAATTTTTTGTTTTTGTATAAATGACGATAACTCCGGTGTTATCAACACAAAACTATTACTGCGACATATCATCTGTAAGAGAAAAAAATGTTATTTGTATCTAAGTCATAGTGAGCTATGACCTACATTCGAAAAACTAAAGTTGGTGCTGATATCTAAAATTCTAGAAGAGTTGGTATAAATTTCATATTTTTTTAGAAATCACTTTGAAAAACTGCCATGAGAATGTGAAATTCTAATTTGAATATTTTCATAAATAAAGAAGTTACGGAGGAGACATGAAAATGATCAAAATCTGTTTTTTGCCTATAAAACAAAAACGAATAGATTTTATCAAAATATTTTTTCACATTATAGTTGGCCTTGACAAACTCCACATTTGGTGTCATTTAACCGACCTCGTATCTCTCACCGTTTAAAAGATACCCATGGTGAGCATGCTAAGTGGGACACACTGTATATTATACAAAAACACTCACCATCTTGAACAAATACTACTTTCACACACTCATTCAATCACTAAGCCGAATATGAGTTCCAGTTTTCCACTCTCAAATATTTCGAATTCTTTTTTATTATCACTTGAATCGACCGTACACAATGAAGTCTAGAACGGGACTGCTGATTGGTTTGAATTATCATTCAAATGACTAATTAATTACGTCGTCCTTTCAACCGACGAATTCCCGAACAAGTATGACTAAATCTGATATTGATAGTAGGTATACGGGGTGGAGTGAAAAGAAATTTGAGGATATTGCCACAAACTGTAGGCGGGGGTTGCCTAAATTGTGTTCTAGATCCATCAGAGAAAATGAACTTCAAAAGTGATAATGATAAATAATACTCAGAAGGTTTACAAACAAAACATAAACACACCTTTAATCTTGGCAATGAATAATAATGAAACAGAGATTATACACTTAACTTACCCTATATGTAGGAAGGGCATCTTCTGTTCTGCCCGAACTCCGAAGGTTCGGACACAGTGGCAACTTTACAAACTTACAATGGATATACTTCAGACTTTCCTAACTCGTGTTCATCAAAAGATCGAGCTAGAACTCGAACTGTCAGTCCAACTCGCAGTCGAACTGGTAGTCGAACTGTCGAACCCGCTTCCTTACGTCTTTTAAATAGTTGTCTATATTTTGGGAAACGTGGCAGTGAGGAAATCAGGTCGATAGTTCAGGTTCGTTGAAGTCAATGTCACGCCTGTGTTTATGAAAAAAAGTTCGTTCATGATTCGAAAATTTTGGAATTAATAAACAAAGACGTGACCGCCGTTCAATGATTTCGAACCCTTTATGAATCTAAATGAAATTTAGGGAAATACCCCATTCGTGACAATATTTTATTTCATTTTCTCATCTATATACGAGGTGTTTTTGGACTGAGTTCATATATTCAGAAAATCGATGAAATATAGGCTGATAGATATTCTAATTGAAGAGCAATTTGATCTTGAGAATTTGATAAAAAATGAAAAAAAAAAACAAATACGCCACCTCAAGGCAATTTGAATGATTGAACCCCGCGTGAATGTGCCTTCCGCTCGGAACTTTATAAAGAGGTGACGTCAAAATTGCTACAGGGTGAAACTTTGAGTGGAAAAAGAGTCTCATCCTGGAATCTATTTTATCCCTATATTTGTTCTATGGGTGTCCTTAAGATCTCCCCTCAGAAATAATCGATGCAAACACTAACCAATCAAATTCAAATAAGAAACGACGATCTTCAAGATGTTGCGGCATCTGCTATATTACAGCATGCAACAATCACAGATTGCACTTTCAATTTCAATTTCTTCCATTGTTAATGTTTTAGTTATTGTTATTTAAATGTTCTTCAAATAAGTTTAATATAATATCGATGAAAAATAAATCTATTTCATTATTTTTCAGTGCATGAGAATATCGTGCGGAAAAGTTACTTTGCCGCACTAATGCTGAAAAGTTCCGCACTTATTAGGTAAATAACTATTTTAAATCTCAATCTGATGCCTTCCTGAAATAAAATACTCCATTCTTGATCGAAAGTTTATTTCCAGTACTTGTCTTTATATAGTAGAGACCATAAGTTACCGACATCGATGATTATTAGTGATAAACAGTTTCTTCACAGACTTCTGGAATGATGCATTATTTAGGTTTTTCACCATAAATTGTCAAGCCCCAAACATTGTGGATTGCTTTTGAAACTGCCTGTATCTTCAAACACAGCATGTGGGGAACAAATCCAAGGATCGTTGGTTCTTTTTTGCCAATCAGACAATCTTTGTTGAAGTTCTTTGAAAACGTAACTGGAACTGTTTTTCTTGACAATGTTGTTCAATTCTTCCGGGTCGTACTTCAGGTCATACAACTCCCATTCTGGGCGAGTGTAATACTGTTGAAGGGATTTGTACCAATATGTATTTTTGTTCATAATCGTGTTGTTCAATATGTCCTAGAAAAAATCATTAATACGATCGATATTGATTATACATCAGGGTTCGGGCATACTGGGTGACACAGGAGACATGTATCAGCCTGTAGTTTTTTCATTTGGAGAGATAAAAATTCGAAATTCACAAGGGTCATATCATCGATGATGGCGCTTCCTTCGTACCCAATGACAATTTTTTCCAACCACCTGTTTGATTGGAAGTATACCCAACTTTTTTTTTCATATAGCACCCCGTATATTTCTGTACTCTATCTTATTCGACCTGAGATTCTCTATTCAACTATGTATCACAATTAGATATTCGTTCATTGACTGTTAAATTGCATTTTATTGAAATACATGAATATATGGCTGTGCCCCGAATACAATAACATTTCAATGCTTAAAAGATAGGCTTAGAAATCCAAAGATCATTACTTAGACGATATTATCAGAATATTTTCCATACCCTAATCGGTCCCCTTCTAGGAAAACTTTGAATAGTTAGTAACTTGGGCGTCCTGATTCCGAATCCGACGTGATTTTCAACCTATTTTGACTCCTAATAGCATTTTCCGGAAATTGGGGTGGTTTCATGGCTGTTGGCGAGCAGTGTATATCACTGAAGATGACCCCACTTGGTCATAGAGTGCATTTTTGGTATATCTCTCGCTCCAGCAAATTTCAGGATCCTTACCCAACGATTACGTAAGATATACAGGGGTGGTTCCATTTGAAATGGGTCACACTGTATTATTAGCGATTTTATCATATCTTTGTTTTCCCGCACTGTTGCGTGAAAATTACACTTCCCAAACTAAATTGCGTGCGGGTATAGGGTGAATCACGCACGCTTGTAGAAAAAATATTTATTGACCTATGTACAGGGTGGGCAAAATTGGGCGTTTTCACCCTCTATCTCAATAACTAGAGGAGTTATCGAAAAACCGATATACATGTTCCGGGTTCGATTTTGGAGAAACCTCGAATGGCACAATCAAAATTTCGATATCTTCATTCGTTTTGGAGATACAGGGGGAAATTGAAAATTTGCCGATTTCGATTTTATTTTCTGACTACTTTACGGTGAGAGATATCAAAAAATTTCGAACGTATATTTATACAGTATGATGCGTGGAATCTATTGGCATCATCAGAAATTTTATACAGGGTGACGTTGAAAAGATACGGCAGCCAGTTATGTTTTTTCTAATGGAACACCCCGTATATTTTGGCACAGTTGAATAGTCCCAGGCGTTCTCATTACAAATATATATATAACCCTACCTTTTCCTTCCACAATTTCAGATATATTCGCAAAAATATATTCAGTGTGTCACATTTCTTGTGGTTACACCCCCGTATCTTCTGTAAAAATAATTGAGGTAGGATTCAAAAATTCGCAACTGTCAGAAAGATACAAATGATACACTCATGGAGTCATGGACCAAGTGGGATCATCTCCAATGATAACACTGCTCGCCTGCAGCTATGGAATCATCGATATTTCTGGATAATGCTATCAACAGGCAGAATCGAGGTTGAAAATGACACTCTGTATATATTCACCAAATGTGGAAAATGAATATCATAGGGAATGTTATTTCCAGATAAATGGATATTTGGTGAGAAATAAAATGGGAAATTATTCGATTTGATATCATTGTTATCAAGACATTTGAGATACAGAAATGAGACCAATAATTTACTCAATTAGGAAATCAGTAGGTTGCCTTGAAAAATATAGCCTTATAGAAGATGTCCAAATTCCAGATACAGAACAATTTTTTTTATGGAGCACCCCGTATATTTTGGCAGAGCTGGAAAGTTCCCGTTTCAATTTCAAATATATATCTTATTTATTATCTCTTTGAACGTAAAAATATTAAGGCATACTAGAAATAATGGGTAAAGTATCATATTCAGGCATTCTGCCACAAAATATTATGATTGTTAATGTTTCCATCAATTATTCTTACAGAAGATAACCATAGGAAATGTGACACACTGAATATATTTTCGCGAATATATCTGAAATTGTGAAAGGAAAAGGTAGGGTTATATATATATTTGTAATGAGAACGCCTGGGACTATTCAACTGTGCCAAAATATACGGGGTGTTCCATTAGAAAAAACATAATTGGCTGCCGTATTTTCTCAACGTCACCCTGTATAAAATTTCTGATGATGCCAATGGATTCCACGCATCATACTGTATAAATATACGTTTGAAATTTTTCGATACCTCTCACCGTAAAGTAGTCAGAAAATAAAATCGAAATCGGCAAATTTTCAATTTCCCCCTGTATCTCTAAAACGAATGAAGATATCGAAATTTTGATTGAACCATTCGAGGTTTCTCCAAAATCGAACCCGGAACATGTATATCGGTTTTTCGATAACTCCTCTAGTTATTGAGATAGACGGTGAAAACGCCCAATTTTGCCCACCCTGTACATTTGTTTTTTTTATCCTCACTAAAAGGTTCACTTCGTAAGGGTTTTCCCAGTTTATTCAAAATACCTATCAGTAAGTTTCCAATGTATATTTCGTAAACGTTTTTCAATAGACTCATATCATTATTATTCAGCTCTTCAGGGAGATTCTAAGAATGCAATAAAATACAGGGTATTCGCGATCTATTTGAAATAACAAAGTTGTTGCTACTTTTTTATAGAAGTGGCAACACTGCATTGCTGAAAATATTTTAAATGAAGAGAGCGTATTCTAAAATATGAGTATGCATATTTTCATGGATTTCTCCCGACTGATTCTCGATATAGAGATATAGTGTAAGCTCGTCATGACCCTGTATACCGTTGAAATTACTTACTTGGAATGTGGGCGAGAGATACAAATCTTGGTCGATGGGAAATGGACTGTAATAATTGATATTGTGAATCAATTTGTATCTTTGAGTTCTCACCATACGCATGGGGTAGTACATGGTAACTTCATGAAGGTTGTGACTGCCGAAAACTGCTTCTTTGGATTTATCTGCTGGTTCTGGAATCAAAATTCAAATATGTACAGGGTGATTCACCATAAATGTCCCCCCCTCTAGCTCACTTATTTTTTAACCGATTTGAATATTTTAAGGATCATCTAAAATGATTTTTGAGAATTTTTTCCCGTTGCATCAGAAAGTACATGGTGCTTAGAACAGACGATCTACAGAGTACTACTTGATTTTTTCAAATGGCACACCCTGTGTTTTATTGTATTTTGAGATTCTCCCTGAAGAGCTGATTTCATCAATGCATCACACTTATTGGGGTCTAGCAAGAATGATTACTGAGGATATAGGGTGAGGATAGATTGAATTGTGCTGAACAAGATATATCCTTTGGTCCAATGCCCGTTGTGCCCGTTGAAAAAGGTTATAAGCTCTCTAGAATTTCCTCTGTTCTGGTATGTATATAGAGGTTATCTATACAGTATGTCCAAGATAATAAGGTTGCACAGCATGGGGATCTCGGAAACGGTAGGAGATACGAAGTCGGTTAAATGGGGAAGGATGAGGCTCATACCAACAGCCTTCGAAAAATTTCAAAATTGTTTTTAGTTTTTCAGTTATATCGAAAAGAGTGAATTTTTTAAATATTAATTTTATTTTTTTTCTGTTATTATTAGAGGTACAGAAAAACTAAAAATACTTTTCAATAGAAACTTTTGATGAAGTTTAACGTGGTGAGATCGATTTTTCCATGCGACGTTCCGTTTTCGTAGAACCATCATCAACTTTTGTCTTTTAAATACGGTCCAGATAATTTTTCACAGATTTTGGAAGCTTCTTTTATTCTGAATTCAACCTTGTGATAAATAATGTGGTTCGTATGTGTTTCGACCTATTTTTCAGCCATCATCAATGTTTCTTCGAAATTCCAAAGGAAAAATGCCATCAGTTCCACTCATTTTGAAGGAAAATTAGTCAACACACTAATACCTCATCAACTGGTTTCAATCAACCCATTTCATTTTGCGGAAACAAAAAATCTATCCTTACAAATTCAGAATATGTCAAGCGCTAAGACCAGGCGATGACGAAAGGCGCAAAACATTCTGTTAGTGGTATACCAGGAAATGTCAAAATTTTGAAGATTTTCCTCGAAGAATCATCTGGACTGATGAAAGCATGGTCACTCATGATGGTATTTTCAAGAGAAAAAATACACATTATTGGTCACGAGAAAATGAACATTTATACAAAACAGCGAGACACCAACACCGTTTCGGCTTTAGTATGTGGATTGCAATATTTGGTACCCGAATTATTGATCCTTTTAATTACCATGAAACATTGACTTCCGAACGTTATAGAAATTTGCTTGAGAATCATTTTGAGGAAGCTCTAGAAAATTTACCGATTGCGGAAGTTGAGAACTGTTGGTTTCAACAAGATGGCGCTTCAAAATGGATTGGTACTCATTCTACAGTCGATCCCTTGGCCGGCGCGGTCGCCTGATTTGACACCGCTGGATTTTTTTCTTTGGAGATATATCAAAAACTTTGTACACGCAAATAACTTTGATAATGAAGAAGAAATAAGGGACAGTGTCATTTTGAACATTTGTTATGAATATTTCTGTTGGTATTGTCAAAGTTGAGTTATTGAATTAATTCGTGTAAGAATTCATTAACAAATTGAAGCGCACTGCATTGAATAATTTAGTGAAATATTTTTTATTAACTTTTAAGTATTGAATGACTAATCCATCAATGTTTGACACTAAATCAGAATCAGAAATAAGTGGAACTGATGGCATTTTTCCTTTGAAATTTCGAAAAATCATTGATGATGGATAGAAATAGGTCGAAACACATTCAAATCACGTTCTTACATAATTGAATTCAGAATAAGAAAAGCTTTAAGAATCAGTGAAAAAATTATGAGGATTATATTTAAAAAGCAAAAGTTGATGATGGTTCTAGGAATACGAAACGTTGCATGAAAGAATCGGTAACACCACGTTGAACGTCATCAAAAGTTGTTACAAAAAAGTATTTCCAGTTTTTCTGTATCTCTAATAATAACGGAGAAAAAAAATTGATATTCCAAAAATTCACTTTTTTCGATATAACTGGAAAACAAAAAACAATTTTGAAAATTTTCGAAGTGTGTTGGTATGAGCCTCCGAATGCGCAACTTTTTTTCCATTTAACCGACTTTGTATCTCCTACCGTTTCCGAGATCCCCATGCTGTGCAACATTATCTTGGACAGAGCTCATAACTTTTTTTAACGGGCATAACAAACCTTGAAATCAATGTAAATGGTGCGGGGTACCGTCCTTTCTGTGAGATAAAAATATAATGCGAGGTTGCATTTTTCATTGTTGATGCAGAAGAAATAATTTGATCATCAATCCTCACCTTTGACAAGAAGAGGCAGCAGACTTTTCCCCGTCAAAACAGGCTCATTTTTTTCGGTACCATCGATTCCAAACCAATCGGTTATGGTTGGTACCACGTCCAACAAACTGGCCAACGAATTAGTAACCTTAAATAAATAAATAAATAAATAAATGAAATAGCTTTGTTGAAAATCAGAAGAAACATAATGCGTTCACATATTCATGATAGGGACAATAATAATTTACAATTATAGACCGTTGGCCCATAACACTAGGGGTGTCGATTATCTACGGAGGTATGCCCTTCAAGAGACATGAAGATTGAGTTGGATTATCGGGAAAAAAGTGGTTAGTTGGATCGGTACCCCGGTCGCCCATCTCCCTAATCAATCAACTTCCTGTTGAAAGTAAAAGTAAAATTCATTGGAATAGTCGCATCTCGCCAAATTAACCGGGCGCTAGCCAATTGGCATACATCTAGGTCGGTCCCGGAGGGCATCATACGGACCGCAAGTTACCATTAACCGACATTTCTCTTAGATTATTTACGATGGTATGCCCTTTGGTTAATTCCTTCATTTCGACCCATGAATCAATGCCATAACATTTGCATACAGTTTGGGTGGGCGAATTTAGACTTATTCGAAGGTCACTTTACATCATCGATTATATATATGAAGATTATATAATTTTGTATGCCATTCAATCAGGTGATAGATTCAGTTATACTGAATAAGAAACTAGCGTTTGCATACGAATGTATTGTGAGCATACGTCGATTTTGCTATAGGGAGTCTATTTTTTTCAGTTTTTCTAATATTAAAAAGTTGAAACTGGAAATTCCAGGATGATCGAGTGCCAAGGGCTCTCAGGGAGGTTTCGGGGTCACTAAGCTCGAATCTGGCACCTACTACTAGTGCCGGGGGCCGGGGATGATAGAGGATGACTCTAGGGGGGATGTCAGGGGGCGCATCTCATTTGCAGAACCGGCAGATAGTCTTGTTGGATTCTATGAATCTGATCCTTTTGGAGTTACAATGGGAGTTCCTAAAGGATCAATCTTGGATCCCATGTTTTTTGTTATTTTCATAAACGATACTGTAATATTCGCCTGAGAGGGGCTCGAACATCATCAAGAAGGCGTATAACGATCTTCCTGTATCACGCGTATCAGATTGTTCCCGAGTATCCCAATAATTCTAACATGAATCAGCATATTTTCGAACACCCAATATGTGTCGCAGCAACAGAAACATCTCAAAACAATCGATGGAACTATTAGAGAGAGAGAGAGAGATACTTTCCTATGAGAAGCTTCGAGAACAAAAGAAGGGTACCGATGATTTTCGGGAACATTCGACAAGCATATAGCCAGCCAAATCATCTGATATATATAAGGACGACAGGACAGCAGGTGGTCAGTGATTGTCAGAGAGACAGCCATATACCGCGTGATATAAATGGTTCGACATAAATAGTAGTTATATGTTTGTTATAAATGAGTGTTCGTTCCCTTTCGTGAATTAGGAAGGGGAAACTTTTTTTTTACACATCCCCTAATTTACAGTTGCAACTGTGAATTAGGAGATGTTTTGAAAAAAAAAAAGATTCTCCTTCCTAATTTACAGTTGCAACTGTGAATTAGGAGATCAACAGTAAATTGGCCAAATATCCGTGAAAAAAAAGTTTTTTTAGGATGGCAGTTCAGACGCGTCGTACAGACATAATAATTAGTTTCTTAGTGGTTTTTGAACCAAAAACTGATTTTTCGAAACTTCGACCTCGAATAACTCGAAACGGGTGAATCGGGACGAGTTTTGTGTAAGTTCTAAAGTTAGAAAGAATTTGATTGTCGATATCTTGAGCTCTTACAGGGTGTTGAACGAATTTTGCCGCCATTTTTGCTAATTTTACTGGGCTAAATGTAATCCCCGCAACTCGCAAATCGTATGCAAATCATTATTCCATGCATGGTTTATGCTTAACTAACCTTGATCAAAATTTGGGAGCTTCGTAGATAATCTTGTACATACAGGTCAATGATGTAAAGTGACCTTCGAATAAGTCTAAATTCGCCCACCCAAACTGTATGCAAATGTTATGGCATTGATTCATGGGTCGAAATGAAGGAATTAACCAAAGGGCATACCATCGTGAATAATCTGAGAGAAATGTCGGTTAATGGTAACTTGCGGTCCGTATGCCGCCCTTCGGGACCGACCTAGACGTATGCAAATCGGCTAGCGCCCGGTTAATTTGGCGAGATGCGACTATTCCCATGAATTTTAAAGCTTCTTCTGAAAAACAATTTTCAACATTACTTTCAACAGGAAGTTGATTGATTAGGAAGATGGGCGACCGGGTACCAATCCAACTAACCACTTTTTTCCCGATAATCCAACTCAATCTTCATCTCTTGAAGGGCATATCTTCGTAGATAATCGACACCCCTAGTGTTATGGGCCAACGGTCTATTAGGTAATTGAAAAAAAAAACTAGAAAGAAAACCTCACCTGGTTTTTCCTTTGGGGATGCAATGGGGATGAAAGCACCATGGGTTCTTGTACCCCAGTATCGTACATGTTGGTCCTTCCATTAGGGAAAGGGATGCCATTGTCGCTGCTGAATATCACAAGGGTGTCATTTTCATGGCCGGAAGCTTTCAGTTCTTGCAGAATGAGACCGACACCTGCAAGCATGTTTTCCACAGTCTTGGTAATGTTAGATTTCACAAAAGCTTTTGATACTCTAAACCACCAACTTTTACTTTCTAAGCTGAATTCCCAGCGAGCACAAACATCCCTGGGATGTTTTGGGATGTTTTGAAAATGTTGGCATGAAGATGTTATTTTGAGACGTAATATGCACTGACCAAAGAGGTCTTTGAAGGATATTGAAGTATTGTTTTTGTTCTTCTGTGGCATTTCTTTGTTTGCCTACTGAGAGGTATCCCTGGGATGTTTTGGGATGTTTTAGAAATGTAGGCATGAGGATGTTTTTTTGAGGCGTAATATGCACTTCCCAAAGAGGTCTTATAGAAGGATATTGAAAGTATTGTTTTTGTTCTTTTGTGCCCTTGCTTTGTTTGCCCCACCACAACGTCTCATGCTTACGTCACAATACGATGAATTCTGATTCGTTTTCGATTTTGTTCTTCTTGCTCGTTCGCAATCGGCATTCGCGTTTGCAGCGTGTCACGCTTACATCACGCTGCTAACGAACAGAAAGGAATTTGGTGAAGTTTATTGTGTTAGAAGACTTATTCAGTTTGTAATAATGACCATCAGATGCAAGATGTGTTGTTCGGTGCCTCAGTGTAATCAATATAGAATAGTACGAATTTATCAATACACAGCAGTTGCAAAATTATGCATTGTGGAGAACATTTCAAAAATTGGGAAACCTATTTCCAATTATATGTCTGTGTGTAGTAAGCATTACTCTTATCTTCCTATCTTGTTGAAACTAATAACAGTTCTGAACTTCCGCAATCGGTAAATCATCCAGAGCTTCCTCAAGATGATTCTCAAGCAAATTTCTATAACGTTCGGTTTCCTTAAAAATAAGTGGAACTGATGGCATTATCCCTTTGGAATTTCGAAAAAACATTGATGATGGATAAAAGTAGGTCGAAACACACATAAACCACCTTGTATAATACATGGTTGAATTCAGAATAAAAAAACCTTTCAGAATCTGTGAAAAAATGATCAGGACCGTATTTCAAAAACAAAAGTTGATGATGGTTCCACGAATACGAAACGTCGCATAAAAAAATCAGTATCACCACGTTAAACTTCATCAAAAGTTGCTATGAAAAAGTATTTTCAGTTCTTCTGTATATCTAATAATAAAACGGAGAAAAAAAATTAAATATATATTCCTAAAATTCACTTTTTTCGATATAACTCAAAAACTAAAAATAATTTCGAAAATTTTCGAAGGCTCTTGATATGAGCCTCCGAATGCGCAACTTTTTCCCTACTTAAACGACTTCGTATCTCCTACCGTTTCCGAGATCCCCATGCTGTTCAACCTTATCTTGGACAGACTGTATATGTCCATTCTTTTATTCACTCAAGCATTGTAATTTGGAAAATAGAAAAGGACTAAAGTTTAGTTATGACTCTATAAAAAACTGACCTTGATCGAGCCTGGAAATTGTCGTATACTGGGCGGCCACGTCCAGCCTGGTCTGCCACGTGTTCGGCAGGAAATAGGGAAGCTGGAGCTCGTCCGGTTGGTAGTAAATGGGGTGCCAATCGGGAATAAGGCCCATTCCGGGCTCTCCGTTTCCAAAATGCTGGCAAAATTGGCCGTACTCGGGATTGGTGTGGCCGCATCGGTGCGGATCGTGCAAGCCGATGTACAGGAAGAATTGACTGAAAAATATTTATCTGTGACGGATTTTTTTTTGAAATTTCATTTCTGTTGACAGGTTATGAAATGTCACTTTTCATTAATTACTTTTATTTCTGACAGTAACATTAAAAGCTTATATCGTCATAGTTACGATATCTATTATGAGGGTCATAACTCCCTTGGGATGTTATAGATGCTATAATTCCCTCTAGCTAAAATTAAATAAGAAATGCATAGCAACAACCACGCAATAACGTAGCAATAAGGAATCTCCTATTCGCGGTAGTCAAGATCATCATCTGACGTTCTGATGACATTGAAACTATACGGAAAAACATGTCTAACTTCCAATCGGGAAGGTATCTAATGAATGAAATCAGTCAGAAATAAAACTATCTATGTATCACGGGAATTATAGAGCCTCAATAACCTCTGGCAATTGCTGTCCCTCGGGCCAGAGGCCCTCGGGACGCAAACTTTGCCATCGGTAATTAAGGCCCTCATAATTCCCTTAATACATATATAACTATTTTCCCACGGAGAGAAATAAGTGGGTAGGTACTTTTTTCTTCGATATATCACATATACAGAAAAGTGCACAAAAAAAAAAACGGCCAGGGCTGTAACTTTCGAATTATTCGAGATAGGGTTTTGAAAATGGGTGGGCAGCTAGTATACCAAATTGCTCATTAATTGACGAAACATTTTTTTATTTTATCTTTTTCTTGTTTTACTGAAAACCATCCCAACTTTTGATTTTCAAATGGGACACCCTGTATTGTATTCCATAATCGGTTAGGGATTGTCATAACGAATTCATCGATACCGGGTTTGATAGAGGGTTATTTCAAACGATTACGCAGATATTCGCGTTCTTAGTTTACATATGCTCAATGAGTGTAACAGAGATAGAAGTTTTGATATTGCGAAGTCACACCCATTGAGCATACGGAAACATCGAATGCAAAATCTTTGTAATCGTTTGAAATAACCCTATCAAACCCGGTATCGTTGAAATCGTCCTGATAATCCCTAACCGATTATGGAATACAATACAGGGTCCCTTATAAAAATCAGAAGTTGGGGTCGTTTCCGGTGAAACTGGAAGTGATAAAAGAAAAATTGTTTCATCAATCAATGAACAATTTTGGTATACTTGCAACCCACCAGTTTTCTAAACCCTATCTAGAATAATTCAAAAGTTTCAATCCTAGCCGTTTTTTGTGCACTTCTCTGTATATATATATATACAATGTTGATCGCTTTTGTTGTGCTACAGTTCCGAAAAATAATACAAATAACACGTCGATAATTTATAGTTTATTATACACGGGAAAATATTTGATTTTAGCTCACGGATTTTTGTCTCCCTTCGCTACGCGTCGGTAGACAGGCTAACCTGGAGCTAAAATCTACTAAGTACTTTTTTCCTTGTATAATGAATTACTAGTTGAATATGGAAGATAAATATATGTGATATATATATCCAGGAAAACAGTTCTCTATTTTTCCCGTGGGAAAAAGTAATTTATCAGTTACGAGTTATAATGTAATTACCCAGTTGAATTATTCAGAAACTGTCTGGTTAATAACTTGATATGAGTGATATTTCTGCCGACTTGAAGAATCGAATTATTTTCTTCGGTTTCAGAAAAATCGAAAGGATACGCCGCTTCTGGTCCCACGTGTTTCTTCCCAATAATTCCTGAAAATTTAAATTTTCACTTACTATTTGAAAGCTATTTTGATGCAATGTTGAAGCAATTACCTACTGAAACGGGCGTTCAGGAATATTGTAAAGGTGAAGTTTGATAATGTAGCGTTGCAGCAATATTACATGTTGCTGTGACATTGCTGCAACGTTACATTTACTAATTTACATTTGCAATATTGTTGAACGTCTGTTTCAGTAATTGCTGCAACCTTGCATCAACATAGCTTCCAAATTTGCTTAGTGGACAACGTGTTAAAAGCTACTCGCGTCTAGAAAGGTAGGCGTCACAAATAAAATTTGTTCTGGCTGTAAATTCAAATTTTGAAAAACCTAGAGACAATGTTCCAACAAAAACATCATTGAAATAGCGAATTTCCATCATCGGTCTCAACAGTAAATGTCTCAACAGTTTTTCTTTCAATTACTCCGAAAGAACAAAAAATAAATATTTGGAATAAGATTCGAACCTGATGGGACCTTCAGAGATAAAAAAATATACAAAGAAAGATACAAAAAAACTCAAAGTCGGTCGACCACAAAAAATTTCAAATACATAAGTATAGTATTACCAGTTTCGGGTCTCGGATATCATCATCAGACACATAAAAAGTACCATGTGCAGCATGAATATGGACATGGCAACAATTCTCGGATGGGGATCCAATAACTTGGTCGATTTCAATGCAAATAAAACACAAGCATGCCTTTTTTCTAGAAAAGCCGATCTCCGTGTACCCAACATAAGCTTGTCAGGAGTAACCATACTTTCGAAGACATCCATTTTGATGCTTGGTATTACTATCAGCGATAACCTTCCTTTGGAAAATCACGTGAGATCAATTGCTAAGAGTACATCCCAAAAACTTGGTTTTTTGATTTGGACCAGGAGCTATTTAACTTCCAGTCAGCTGCTGATGATCTATAAGGCACAGATCCGACCTGTCCTGGAATTCTGTTTCCATATTTGGAGTGCAGCACTCAAATATACCCTGAAACTGTTGGATTCTGTCTAAAAAAGGGCAATTCGTCTCGTGGATGATGCCTCGCTCACAAACTCACTCACTTCTCTGGAACACTGTAGAAAAGTTTGCGATCTGGCTGTATTTTATAGATATGTCCATGGACGATGCTCTTCTGAAATATCAACAATTGTTCCTCCCTTGGCAGTCCCCGCGAGATTAACCCGTCGAGTTGAGGCTTCGCACCCCTTCGTGGTCACTTTAGAGACCTGCAGAATATCTCTTTCCAAAGACTCGTTCATCCAACGAACAGCGAGGCTCTGGAACACATTGCCAAGGGAGGTGTTCCCCGAGGCATATAACCTCCAGAAATTTAAGAAGAACATCAATTCCTACCTTATTTTCCTTGGTTCTCACGATGTTCTCTGAACATCACAGGGTATATCTTTTCGTGGGAACCAGAACATAAAAAAATAGGTTAAAATTGAAAAGGGAAGTTGTCAGTCGAAAAAAGCAGTCCTAAAAATTCTTTGTGGTCGATCGACTTTGCCTTTTTTTTTGTATTTATCTTCGAAATATTCTGGATCACGATGGTTTCCACTAGAGTCATTGTATAGTAACTTTTGCACATTTTGATTGGTCTAAATGTGTGACCGCCCTACTCCATAGACGTAAAAAGGCTTTGAATATGAAAAAAAATCACCTGTTCGTATCCCATGCTCTTTTAGAATTTGTGGCAGACTTCTAACATCTCCAAACGAATCAAAATGGTGTACACCTTGATGTAAACCGTACATGCCATTCTGGTGTGAAGGCATTCCAGTAAGTAGAGCAGCACGACTAAAAAAAAAAAATAGTTCTATAATCAGAAACAGAGGATTCGTGACAATTTTTACCACGCTTCAATCAGCTTGGTATGCAGTTAGGATGTTTGTTTATTTGTATGAACTGAATCTTTGAACAAGATTTTTGAACCACCTCAAAACAATGAATTTCATCTTCATTTATTCATTGCGAATGATTATGATACATATATGTATGAAGTTTATATTCAGACCATTTGGAAAAAAAATTGAGGGCAACCTAAGCGCATATGGCTTGTTTTGTGAAAACCATTTTCTTCCTCACGGTGACAATATCAATAATTTTTATATGTACAACAATGATATTTACACATTTTAAACAATAATTGAAAATTTACCGGTTCAGAAAGTAAGTATAATTACACTTATAACTGATATTTCAGAGTCAGAGAGGATAAAATGGAATAATATGGAAAAAAATATGAAATGCACATGAACAGAGAAAATTGGTAGGTACTAGTGAAAAAGTATATATTAGTACATGTTTATAGTGGTGCATTTTTTAGGAGAGTCATAATGAGCTTATAGTGTGTGATGATGAAAATTTTGAAATTGAAACTTCGTACTAATCAAGGACCAATGACATTAGCATAATTGAATGACTTCATTCTATTATCCTGATCTGGATCTTTTATTTTTTCGAATGAAATGGTGAATGATCTTCCACCACCAAAATTGCAAAATGTTCCTTCGCCAAATATTCAAATGTACAGGGATAGTTTCGATGATGTAAACCCCCTTGATCTTTTTTGTTTTCCACTCTTCAAAAAAATTTCAAGCTGATTTCATACAGATTTCACTTCGACATAAACAATTCCTGAACTTGGAAAATCTCGATTTGTCACACCTCTATATCTCAGTATAATTATTACTGCTAGACCCCAAGTACGATGGGACGTTGAAATCAGCTCTTTTGGGAGAATCTCGAAATGAAATGTTATATAGGGTGTTTCATTGAAAAAGTATAACTTCAGTGGATTTTTTTGGGGGAATACCCTGTATGTTTAAAAGGAAGAATTTCAACAAGATGAATGGTTATATAGCCTTCTAAAGACCGAGGCGTTACTGGTGGTCCACCCTGTATAACAGAGTGACCCATTTGAAAGCGGGCCACAATCATGAATTTTTCATTCATGGAGCGATTTCCACGCATTTTTTTTCGGAATGTAGAGGGTGGATAGATGTATATTGGAGCTAAGCAACATCCACTTTTGTAGAAAATCAAGGCCTACTAGATCACATTCAGAGGCCGAAAAATCCAGAATCCATGTGAGCGATTTTTTTTTAAGAAAAAATCTGCGTACACCCCCGGAATCGGCGTCCTCTGAAATAGATCTGTCCCAAGTTTCATGAAAAAATATAAAAGGCTCCACTCTATATCTCTATTAGCCGTGTGATTCGAACAAAATTCGGACGAACATCCATCTGGACAGTGCCGTGCGTTTTAATTAAAATAAAAAGGGGTAAACTTTTGATGAAATCATATTAGGAGAATACTCGGGAAAATATATTTACAGGAAAACTGACCTCATAATATTGTTCTTCGTGGTTTAAATCCCCCATATGTGAATTTTTATATAATTCCTATGAAATGAATAAAAAAAACAGGCACATATCTGAACAGCATTTTTACGAATGTAATAACTATTTTTCTTTCAAATCAAGATTTCTTACCTACCTGAGCTATTGAACCTTCCAAAATTTGCAGTTAATTTGAATTCACTATTTTTCCGAGACTGAAAATATTTCCTGCCTCTTTATTTGAAATGAGGTGATTTTTTGCATTTTTTCATAAAAGACAACCCCTTTTTTTATTTCAACAAAAAGCACGGCACTTTCCAAAATGATGATCGTCTTTGAAAAACTGATCAGATTGATGATTTTTCATACTAGAGTCACTAGTAAGATAACTAATAGCATCCAGTGACTCTAACACTTATTTCAATCAACTTGTTCTTCAGTTCAAATTCAATACACTCAGTTCCAAAAAAAGTGACGCACTTGATATTTGACCCATCTTTAAAAAAAAAACGAAAAATAGTAGGCCGATTTTTATTTATTTTTTTGTTTGTTGGTAGGTAATGCATTTGTCTTTGAAAAGAAAATAAAGAGGTGGAAATTTTTTCAAAGCCTCCTTGATGGTGGTGGAATAACTCGAACCATGATTTATTCTTAATTTTTGACTCATCCTGTGTGTTAATTGAGTAATGGAATACAAAGTGCTTACACCCTATACGAAAGAGGCTTGCTTCTTTCGCGAGAATTTTGTTTTTTTATCCATTGATTTATCTCTAAAATTTTCCGAATTACAGCTTTTTTGCTGATACCTTACGCTTATCCCACAAATTAAATTTATCGAAGGATCAGAGTACTCAAAATTGATTGGGTTGTACTCTGGTAGGATCACATTGTCTTTAAAAAAACAAATGCCGTTGCCATAGCAACTAATTTGTTGTATACCTCCATATTTGACCATTTGTCGTTTTGTCACTAATTAAGTGTCTTGTTTCATTGACTAAAATTACATAAAATGCCTCAAATGAATCCTGAACAAGTAGCAAGATTAGTTGCGTTCGTAAAAGATGGGCGTAGTAAACGTTACGCCGCTCGTGCAGTGGGTGTTCATGAAGCAACTGCTCGTAGAACAATCCGCAAGTATGAACAAACAGGAAGCACCGCTCGGAGGGTCGGTTCTGGTCGCCCCCGAAAAACTTCTCCAAGAGATGATCGCTTCGCAAATACTGCGGTAAATGTTCAGCAAGATCTTCGCCAAATTCCTGATGTTGCAGTAAGTAAGCAGACGGTATGTAGACGTCTAAAAGAAGTTAATTCAAAAGCTAGGAGACCTGCGAAAGGTCCCAAATTATTGCCCGAACATCGTGCTGCTAGAAGAAATTTTGTTGAAAATTATGGACAGTGGATAATATTCCTGAATGGTCGAATGTCTTGTTTACGGATGAGTCAAGGTTTTGCCCTCACATGGTGGATGGAAGAAAGAGAGTGTGGAGAAGAACTGGTGAACGGTTTAATCCAAATTCGATAACAGAATTCGAAAGTTTTGATGGTGGGTCCGTTATGGTGTGGGGAGGGATTTCAATGAATGAAAAGACACCCCTTCATGTTTTTCCGGTGAGGCAGTCGATGAATGCCCAAATTTACATTGACATTTTAGAGCAGTATGTCTTACCTTATGCAGAGTTAGTGGGCAATAAATTTATATTGATGCAGGATAATGCCCGACCACGCACCGCAGCAATAGTGCGAAACTTCTTAGAAGCTACTGGTATTACCACATCACAATGGCCTGTGAGAAGCCCCGATATGAATCCTATAGAACATTTGTGGGATGAATTAGGGAGAAGGTTACGTTCTCGCGAGAGGTCTCCGGAAAGTCTCGCAGAAATGGCAGATGCATTAAACGATAAGCAACTTAATTTCCAGTATGCCTCGTAGATTAGAAGTTCTTAGAGTTGCTAGAGGAGGCAATACACGGTATGCTAGTCATCCCAATTTATAATTTCCTGTTTAATAATAATATTTTTCAAAATTATTGGTATCAGTTTATTTCATTAGAAAATTGTTTCTCGATAAATTCAGAAAGTTGGTAATCTGCAAGGCTTCAGCAAAAAAGTTGTAATTCGGAAAATTTTAGAGATGAATCAATGAATAAACAGACAAAATGCTCCCAAAAGAAGCCTCTTTCGTATATGTTGTAAGCACTTTGTATACCATTACTCAATTAACACACAGGGTGCGTCAAAAATTAAGAATAAATCATGGTTCGAGTTATTCCACCACCATCAAGGAGGCTTTGAAAAAATGTTCACCCCTTTATTTTTTTTCTAAAGACTAAAGACAAATGCATTACCTATCAATGAATAAGACAAAATCCAAAATCGGCTTACTACTTTTTTTTTGAGAAGATAGGTCAAATATCAAGTGCGTCACTTTTTTTGGAACTGAGTGTAGTTAGAGGCATCCTAATTTCAAAAATTCTGGAGGGATTCAATGTATTATGGAACTATTTACAATATTCTTCCATATACCTACTGTGTGTTAATAAAATGGCCAATAATATTGAAAATAATAATCTAACAATTCTAATAATCTAAGGATGTTCGTCTTTGAAAAACTGATCATTCTGATGGTTATTCATACTGGTCCAAATTTGGTACGAATCAGAGGACGCCGATTCCAGTGGCGTACGCGGATTATTTCTAAAAAAATCGCTAATATGGATTCTGGATTTTTCAGCCTCTTAATGTGATTTAGTAGAACTTGGTTTTTAAGAAAAGGCGTCTACTCCTTGGTCACAATATTCAATGTGGCATAGTGCCACATTATAAATTGAATACTGCCAATAATAATTTACATTACTTGGATTCTTTGGATAAGTGCAGTTGTAGAAAAAGTATAGTGTGCAACATGTGGGGAAAAGTACTTTCCCCACTTGTTGCACAATATACTATTTCACTACCTTGGAGAACAACTGCTCACAGATGTGAAAGCCTTATTGAAGAGCAAGCCGTTTTTGGCCAGTCTGTCCAAGTTTGGCGTTTGGCAGATTCTGTTCCTATATGCTCCCATTTCGAATCCTCCATCGTCAGCTGAAAATAAAGTGGTTTACTATATGTATACAAGGTGTCTCAATAAACTTATTATTGTCTGAAATGCTCGAACTCTACAACTTTCTTATTCCAAATGAATTGCTCTCATAATTTCCCTCAAAACGATGTATATTATATTTTTTCCTATTCCATATTCGAAATTACATGAAATTGAATCAAAATTGTAGTGCGATGAGCTGTGAAATTTGGTGTAATTTGCAGATGTTTCCCTTCCAAATTTCAAAAGTACCAGAGTAGACTTTGAAATATAATAACCGGTTAAACCAGATATAATGATCGAAAAAAAATTAGAATATTCTTTTATTGTATAATAAGGCGCCAAATAATATAAATGAGTTGATTCAGAGCCAGCACATGACTATTTTATGATTTTTTATATGCTAAATCTCGTTTGACTACTTAGGATTGTATTTTTGGTTGCATATTAAGTGGTCATTATTGATCATTTGAACTATTTGAAGATCTCTATATCTGTAGTCATATAGACACCATTCTCTATCTGTTTCCATAGCGAAACATGAAGCCGATTTTTGAAGACAAATGACTATCCATAAGGAAAAGTTTTGAAACGATCAGACACATACTGCTTTGATTGAAAGGCTAGTAAACGTCATTGTCCACCGAAACGCATGTCTTTGATGACTACTATAATAGCGCATGACGCATGCGTATCATGCAACCAAATCCTTATGGATATTCATTTGTTTCATATTTTTGGCTTCATCCTGGCACCCGTTATGATCCGTATTGTTTATTATACGATATGTATATGATAGACACAGTGTAAAATTTATAACGGGTCTTCAACAATAATAATTGAAGACCACGTACAGATTACTATATGCAACCAAGAATACATTCGTATATCTCTAACGTGGGTGGAAAAGAGACGCCGCATCAAAAATGACGTGGCACTCAATCATTGTGGAAGACCGGGTAGTTAGTTATTTTATTAGTTATATGCAGGGTTGTTAAATGCTCCTTTTGAGAATCTCACTACTTACTAGTTTTATTTAGTATAAATATGCTGAGGCTAAGAGCCTCTTGAAGTCTTGAATAAATTTGTGGGTTTTTTCAATAATATACCGTGTCGCTGTAATTGATAAACTTATATATAGCTACGTGTTTCGGGATCTTAGACACGGCCACCGCGTTTAATAATAATAATATAATCCAATCCATATTTAAAATGTAAATAATAACATTTCATCCATAACTTACCTAAAATAAATAAAACGTTCACCTTCTTCGTTGAATTGCCAAAAATATACGCACAATTTATAGTTAAAATTATCAACATGAATGAAAAAGAGCGAATCATTTTGGACAGACGAGGATAGACCTATATTTCTTCGTGGTATGAAATAGAAATACACCGTAGAGAGAATAAATCGCGTATGAAATAATCGGGAACCCCAAATTAGAAACACCTCTCAAGAAAGTAGATCAACAAGTTTTTTAATGACCAAAAGAGCGAGATGCCGAGTTGCAGTGTTGAGGTCAGTTGCGGTCAAAGAAATAATCAATAATCTTCAATACCTTTTACATCTATTTATCATTATTTTAATGATTCTAGACCATAATTATAAATATACAAACGTCGAAAGTTGATGAAAGATAATACATAATATAAACAAACTACCTATAACTTAAACATTTTATTATTATCAATATTTTATGAGCCTCAACAACATTCAACATTGTTGAAACTATTGATTGCCGTTTCCGGTTTCAATTTCGACTTCTCCCAAAGTTTCACTGGTCTTCGAAAATATCAACTTCGTTTTGATAACATCTAATCTCATCAAAACAACATCATTGTAATATTCTTTCAGCTTCTCAACATTACTAATCATTTTCGCAATCATATCTGCATAAATATCTTCATCTGTGTTAGCTTTTTCAACTTCCATGAGTTTCAGCTCCTCTGCTACTTTCGTTTCCATTTTCAATAATTGTAAACACTCCTGTTCCGATTAATAATTGATTGATTTAATTAATTTAATTAAATATTTGAATTATTTGAAATTTAAAAATAAAAGTGTCAAGTGTCAATATATCACGTGACTTAGCGACCAATGATGACTGGGAATACAATATACAATAGAGGCATATTCGTTTGTGTTTGCTCTACCTGCTAAACCTGATTGTGTTCTATGAGTTTCTCTGATTACATTATGCCATGAACATAGATGGAAATAGACAACTATGGGTACAAAATCAACTATAGCAAGTTCAGCAATACAAACGAACAAGCCTTAGACCTGTTCGTTTGTGTTTGGTCAACCTGCTGAACTTGAATTGTTTCTTTAACTTTCTCTCTTTACATCATGCCATGAACAGAGACAACTATGCCAACTATGGGAGTATGAGAGCAAAATCAACTTCAGCAAATGGTTCAGCAACAAGGTTCAGCAACACAAACGAACAGACCAATTACGAGATTCGATTTTCAAACTCGTATCACTGCCATACTGCACTAGAAAGTACAAAGGAAAACGCTGACTTTGACAGTCGAGTCCAAACACACAGAAAAGGAACACAAAACTGTGCTGGTTCTGTTGTTCCATGAGTTTCATGTTGACATGTTGTTTGTTGTTTCGACTTTGAGAAAATGGCTACATCACTTATGTCTGTGAGCTTTATTATTTATTTTGGTTTATCGAAATAGATACAGTGTGGTTGCAGTTATTAAGTGTATAAAATAATAAAATACCCACGCGGACTATTTGGAAAACTGAGAAACGTAGGTGAGTGTTTTGGAAAGTTTATATAATATCATATTGTTTCTGTTTCTCCTTGCATGTTGTGTACATTTGTATAATTTCAAACTGGAAATATTATACTCAATGAATCAATGATAGAGGGTTTATTTCTACGTGATTACTTTTATTTATAAGAATAGCCATAGATTATTCGTCAAGTAGTGGTGAAACAACAGAAAATAGGTATAAAATGCCCCCAGTCGCCCTGGATCTATGCAACAATATGCAACCAACCAGGTATCAAATCAAATTCCAATCTGCCATAGTGGAAAATTCAAAATGGACCAAGTGGGTACATACCTATATAATATCTCCAGAATTACAATAATTTGCAATAATAAATAATTGTACTGGTTGCTATCTCAAATACTATTCTACCATGCATAGTACTACTATTATAATAGTAGCTTCAAGTTTTCTATAGATAGGTACTCGGAGGTAGTGTTCATGATTTTTTTGATTCCATTGCAATCAAAAGCCAACAAGCCTTGATTTGGCCTCGAATTTGGCAGTAAACAAGTATCAAGATATATAGCAATGTGTAGCTGTATATTTTTCATAATTTTGGGCTTTCCTATGTTCAGTGTGTCCCAGCTAAAACTTTTCACCCCCCTAATCTCCGATGTCGTTAAAAAAATTGAAAATCGCTCGGAGAGGTCGATTTCAATTTGGAAGGGGAAACACTTTTCTGCAATCATCATATTTCAAAGTTGAAATCTTGAATCATATCGGGCATGAACTCTTGATTTTCAAATGGAGCACCCTGTATTTAATTGTTTTTTTTTAGATTCTTCCTGAAGAGCTGATTTCATCAATGCATCACACTTGGGGTCTAGCGGGAATGATTACAGAGATATAGGGTGTTCAAAAACGAGATTTTTTAACTTTAGGATTTTTTTGTGTCGAAACTATTCATTATCGGTCAAAACGGCTTTCATGTCCCTATCTTAACTTTTGGTTTACTATCTACTGACATTTAATTGGAACAAATACAGGGTGATCAAAATTTTGAATCTTGAACCATCCAGTATTTGTCTGAATTAAATGTCAGTAGATAGTAAATCCAAAGTTAAGATAGGGATATGGAAGCGGTTTTGACCGATAATGAATAGTTTCGACACAAAAAATCGTAAAGTTAGAAAATCTCGATTTTGAACACCCTATATCTCTGTAATCATTCCCGCTAGACACCAAGTGTGATACATCGATGAAAGGAGCTCTTCAGAGAGCATCTTGAAATGCAATGAGATACAGGGTGATCTATCTGAAAATCGAGAGTTGATGCCCGATACTCTTCAAGATTTCAACTTTGGAATATGATAATTGCAGAAAAATGTGTCCCCAGCCAAATTGAAACCTGTCCGAGCGATTTTCAATTTTTTCAACGATATCGGAGATTAGGGGGTGACAAGTTTTAGCTGGGACACACTGTAGGTACCCATTTTCCGAATTTTTTTTTCTGAATTCACTGATGTAGATGTAGAAAATGAATGGTCCCTACTTGGGGAGCAGTCATATTCAGTAATTCCCAGTATGTTATTATTTATTTTCCACTTGATTTCTTTTGTGTTATTATTTTTTTGATAGGTAGTGGAGTAGCCCCAATACACTTTCAAACTTCGCCCTCGGATGTTATGCCCTAGTTACCCTTTCCATCCTCTGACATTCCTGATATTACGCGCCCTCCGTTTTAATAAATGACCTTTCCTTTGTGGAAGTGGGTTATGACCTGATTAGCTGACTGTAGTTGTTTGAAACTTCACTTGTAAAAGTGACATTATGGAGGGCAGCTACAGGGTTATTCCCGAGGTCATTCCGCAATCAGGCGAGACAATAGGCAGTTTTTCGCCGAGGTGCAAATTTCACATTTTTTCGTCGACCCCAAACACTTATATCCACATCACGGTCCAATTCACACATGAAATCTATCGGATTCCGTGAATAATTTGACAACAGCAAATGACAGTTGTTGTCAACTCACTCTCCACGCGGATCAGAGTTTCCACTTCGATTTCTACACTGAGTTAAAAAAAAAGTGACGCACTTGATATTTGACCTCTTCTTACAAAAAAAAAAAATTAGTAGGCCGATTTTTTTATTTGTTGGTGGGTAATGCATTTGTCTTTGAAAAAAAGTGAAGAGGTGAACATTTTTTCAAAGCCTTCTTTATGGTGGTGGGATAACTCGAACCATGATTTATTCTTAATTTTTGACTCATCCTGTGTGTTAATTGAGTAATGGCATAGAAAGTGCTTACACTCTATACGAAAGAGGCTTCTTTTGCGAGCATTTTGTTTTTTTATTCATTGATTTATCTCTAAAATTTTCCGAATTACAGCTTTTTTTGCTGAATCCTTGCAGATTACCAACTTTCTGAATTTATCGAGATACAATTTTCTAATGAAATAAACTGATACCAATAATTTTGAAAAACATTTTTATTGAACACAAAATCATAAATTGGGATGACTGCTTAATACCGTGTATTGCCTCCTCTAGCAACTCTAAGAACTTCTAATCTACGAGGCATACTGGAAATTAAGTTGCTTATCGTTTCCATTGGTATACGATCCCATTCTTCCACTAATGCATCTGCCATTTCTGCGAGACTTTCCGGAGACCTCTCGCGAGAACGTACCCTTTTCCCTAATTCATCCCACAAATGTTCTATAGGATTCATATCGGGGCTTCTCGCAGGCCATTGTAATGTGGTAATACCAGTAGCTTCTAAGAAGTTTCGCACTATTGCTGCGGTGTGTGGTCGGGCATTATCCTGCATCAATACAAAATTATTGCCTACTAACTCTGCATAAGGTAAGACATACTGCTCTAAAATGTCAACGTAAATTTGGGCAATCATCGACTGCCTCACCGGAAAAACATGAAGGGGTGTCTTTCCATTCATTGAAATCCCTCCCCCACAGCATAACGGACCCACCATTAAAACTTTCGCATTCTGTTATTAAAGTTTGATTAAACCGTTCACCAGTTCTTCTCCACACTCTTTTTCTTCCATCCACCATGTAAAGGCAAAACCTTCACTCTTCCGTAAACAAGACATTCGACCATTCAGGAATATTTCACTGTCCATAATTTTCAACAAAATTTCTTCTAGCAGCACGATGTTCGGGCAATAATTTGGGACCTTTTGCAGGTCTCCTAGCTTTTAAATTAACTTCTTTTAGACGTCTACATACCGTCTGCTTACTTACTGCAACATCACGAATTTGGCGAAGATCTTGCTGAACATTTACCGCAGTATTTGATCGATTCCGTAAAATTCGCAATCTCAAGGAGCGATCATCTCTTGGAGAAGTTTTTCGGGAGCGACCAGAACCGACCCTCCGAGCGGTGCTTCCTGTTTGTTCGTACTTGCGGATTGCTCTACGAGCAGTTGCTTCATGAACTCCCACTGCACGAGCGGCGTAACGTTCACTACGCCCATCGTTTACTAACGCAACTAATCTTGCTAATTGTTCAGGATGTATTTGAGGCATTCTATGTAATTTTAGTCAATAAAACGAGACACAACGACAAAAGGTCAAATATGGAGGCATACAACAAATTAGTTGCTATGGCAACGGCATTTGTTTTTTTAAAGACAATGTGATCTTACCAGAGTACAACCCAATCAATTTTGAGTACTCTGATCCTTCAATAAATTTAATTTGTGGGATAAGCGTAAGGTATCAGCAAAAAAGCTGTAATTCGGGAAAGTTTACCTACCAACAAATAAAAAAAAATAAAAATCGGCCTACTATTTTTTTTTTTTAAGAAGATAGGTCAAATATCAAGTGCGTCACTTTTTTTGGAACTGAGTGTATTTCTTGTATTTATTGTGAAATAATCACCAATAAAATTGGAAATAAAAATAAATTCAATTCAATCGTAGAAAAAATGTTGTGTGCAACATGTGCAAAAAGCATATGTATTTTTGTGTTGTTGCACACAGCATGGTTGCAGCTATCGACATTTTGCAACAAATATATACACTCTTCTTCAAAGTACCACTTTCAGAGTAATCTGTATATTTCAATCTAAAGTCTTTTAGTCAAATATTAAAATATAATATGCAGTCAATTCAATTAAGGTTTTTTGTATTTTCACATTTGCGGGGTACTGATAAGTAGGTATACTGACTTTGTTTACATAGAAATGTAAATAATAAATTATAGTTATTTATGCAGTGAGTGCAAAAATACTGTTTATTGCACATCATG